ACCTTCAGCAAGAGCCATACCATGCAGCTTGGCATAGTAAAACATAGAGGAACCAGCTTCCGTCCTCTAGTGAGCTTCTCTCAAAGTGTCCCAAATTTCTCTGGCTGTGGTCTTATCATGCAACAGACAGAGCTCTTCTGGGGATACTATCAACGTAAGAGTCCCCTTCGCTTTGGAATCTTTAGCTTTCCATTCATCTGTAATTGGAGCTGGGGGGTTGTCTGTAATAACTTTAAACAGACCCTCTTTCCGCAGAATAGCCTCTGCATACTGCACCCAGTTTGCGTAATTCTTCTTATTGAGCTTTGGAATCCCAAAAGCATCAGCTAGGCTTGTATTTGCCATCTCAGCTGCTTTTAATCAAGCTGCGTCACTGCACAGCAGCTGCATCCAAAAGCACTCGTAAAAAGCACTTTCGCTTTCCCAGCCTCCAAGCCTGTGCCTTAAAGCCTTTGCCTGTTCCTCGGCAAAAACGGCCTTAAAAGTTCAAAGTCCAGCCATAAAGCCATCAACTAGAAGCTGGCAGGCGGCCCGAAGCATTAGCACGTACCTCTCATCAATCAACCTGACGCGCAGAGCAGATAACGCTGATCCATTTCTCTGTTCCTCTGCCGGCATTTCGACTCGGCCTCTGGAGTCCATCCTTCAGCTTGACTGCATTTTTCTGGGCCCGGAACCATAAAATGTTGTTTTTGCAGAGTCCTGAACACAGCGGAATGATGAGCAGTACGTGCCACATGCTTAATTTTGCTTTATTTACACTTCAATGCTGAGAGATTGCAAACATGCATCTTGCCTCTGTGAGAGCAGAGAAGCAACCTCCTTCTCCTCGAAACACCAAGAGAAGAGAGACAAACAGGAAACCAGTGTACGTCACATCCAGTCTCCTGTTCCCGTGGGAAACCCAACAGTACTCTGACTGTGGAATGCAAAACATTGTCCCGTGACAAGCACTTAGCTGCACAGTGAAGAGAGCAGAAACCAACAGGATTGGCACTGGTTAAGAAAGTGAAATATTTAGGGGTAAACATGACTGCTAAGAATGTGAATTTATTTAAGGATAACTATGAAAAATGTTGGACTGAAGTGAAAATGGATTTAGAAATATGGTCAAATTTGAAGCTATCGTTGTTAGGCCGAATTGCTGTGATAAAAATGAACGTATTGCCAAGAATGTTGTTTTTGTTTCAAACATTGCAAATTTTGGACAAAATGGACTGTTTCAAGAAGTGGCAGAGAGATATCTCTAGATTTGTCTGGCAGGGCAAGAAGCCTCGTATAAAATTTAAGATATTAACAGATGCTAAAGAAAGAGCTGGATTTGCCCTGCCAGACCTTAAACTTTATTATGAATCAGCCACATTTTGTTGGCTGAGAGAATGGATGTTTCTGGAAAACACGGATGTGTTGGATTTGGAAGGTTTCAACAATGTATTTGGTTGGCATGCATATCTGTGGTATGACAAGGTTAAAGCACACAAAGCGTTCAAAAACCATATTGTCAGAAAAGCACTGTTTAATGTTTGGATAAGATATAAGGATTTGTTAGAAAATAAAACCCCAAGATGGTTGTCACCAATGGAAGCAAAGGCTCAGAAAAATACTCAGTATGGAGGCCAAATGGCCGAAGTATTGGGAAATTTTGGAACAAGAGGGAGACAGATTAAAACTGCAGAGTTTTGAAAAATTAAAAAACAGAGTGCGAGACTGGCTCCACTATTATCAAATAATGGAGGCATATAATTTGGACAAAAAGCTAGGCTTCCAGGTGGAAAAATCAAAATTGGAAACAGAATTGCTAGACCCTAAAGTTAAGAATTTGTCAAGAATGTATAACTTGCTGTTGAAATGGAATACTCTCCTGGGCATAGTCGGCCAATTGGTGCCAAAGAAGGATAGAACTTTCTTTATGGACTATATGGAACTTGCGGAAATGACTGGCAGAATCCAAGACCAGGGAGAAGAGTTGGTGGAAGAAGATTGGAAGAAATTTAAAGACTATTTACAGAAATACTGTAAAATTAATGAATGTTAGAATGATGTCGGAATGAAGCTAAGGGGTTTTAGCAGCAATGTTACAAAGGAGTATGTAAAAATGGATTGTTAACAGATGAGAATCTAAAGTTATAATATATTAAGATAAAGGACTAAGATAAAAACAAAGAGGGAAAGGATTTGCTGAATTAACTAACTGAACTGGAATACAAAAAAGGGAGGTGTGAGGAGGTCAGGGAAACAAGTAAATGAAAGACAAGACATGGAAAGATTGATTTGTTTTTAATTGTTTTTATTTTTCTGTATTTTGTATTTTCTTTTTCTTTTTCTATTCTTTTTCTTATTATTGTAACATTTTTTGAAACTTTAATAAATATCTTATAAAAAAATAAAAATGAAATGGAATACTCAAGATGAAATGGTGATATCTGCCATGATTAAATGGGCACAAGATGTTGGACATAATATTATGATGGCTGACTGGGAACAGTTATGGACCACTGGTATGAAATTTACGGCATGCAATGCCTTAAAAGAGAATTTAATGAAAATGATTTACAGGTGGTACATAACACCAGTCAAGCTTGCAAAAATCTAATCATCTGCCCGATAATAAATGTTGGAAATGTAATGAAACTGAAGGTACATTCTTTCACCTTTGGCAGAAATGACTGGCAGAATCCGAGACCAGGGAGAAGAGTCGGTGGAAGAAGATTGGAAAAAATTTAAAGCATATTTACAAAAACATTGCAAAATTAATGAATGTTAGAAGGATGCTGGAATGACGTTATATGGTTTTAGCAGAAATGTAATTAAGAATTAAGTAAAAGCTGATTGATAATGGGCCAAAAGAAAAATTTAAGGTTAGACAGTTAAGATAAATTATAGAACAAAAATTGAGAAAGATGGAAAGAATTTGCTGAAACAATTAATTGAACTAGAATACAAAAAAGGGAGGTGTGAGGAGGTCGATGAAACAAGTAAATGAAAGGTAAAGATATGGAATATTGGATGTGTGTTTTAGTGTTATTGTTTCTTTTTGTTGTATTGTTGTATTGTTTTTCTATGTTTTTCTTTTTATGTATTGTAATGTATGTCTTGTTAAATTTTTTATTGCTTTCTTTTTTTCCTTTTTCTGTAATTTTTAAACTTCTAATAAATATCATTTTTTAAAAAAGGGAGTCGCCATTTTGACGGGTCTTGTCGGGAGGAGGAAGCTTTGTTTTCGCACTGGATTCCTGGTAGAACCACCTCGAGGACTAAGAAAGAGGGACAAACCTGCGAAAAGTGAATAAGTAGACAGCAAGAATGCTTTTCTTTATGGAAGCGATGAAATACGGCGGCTGTCTGAAATACGACTCTTGGACGAACGGAAAAACCCACACAGGAATACAAATTTGTTTGAACCTGTTTATGGAGACAATCAGAGGCCACAAAGACAAAGAGAGAGGAAAAATATATGAAAACAACTAGAAGAGATGTGGAAAACAGCAAGAAAGGATTGGACAGAATTTTGAACATTATTTGGACAGATTTGTGGACTTTTAAAGCAGTAGCAATAAGAGGATTGGACCCCTTTCGGAACTTGAAATATGGGTACCCCCAACAAAATTTAAAATTAGGCTCTGTAATTCGGAATTTATGTGATTTGATTTGATATGATTGGTCTGTTAATAATTTTTTTTTTTTTAAAAAGACATATTTATCTATGTTAATCTTATACCTGAGTCTTGCCCTGCCATGTCTGCTTATGCTAATCTTGTACCAAGGACTTGTCTGGACATATTTGCCAAGGTTAACCCATCCCCTTCGAACTGTATTCTGGGATGTGGTGGGAAAGTTTTAAAAGTCTTTGTCACCCCATCCTCGGGGTTCAAAATTTGCTCTTTGAACCTATTGCGCAATAAACTTTGGTCTACAGCTATTTGCTCCGGTTGGCTGGACTCCTTCCTTTATTCTGCAGGGACCCGCGGGCTCTGCCTGACCAGCTGGGTGACTGAAAAGCCTCGCACCTAGATTTTTCCTTAACAGAAGTTACAGGGAAGCAGGCTGAGGGCGAGGAAATGGGCAACATTCTGACATTTAGAAAACAGCTGAAGGCAACCCTCTATCGGGAGGTTTTTAATGTCTGATGTTGTACTGTCTTTTATTTGTACTGGAACCAGGCAGTGGAAGAGAAACTTAAGATGGAAGCCTGGGAGAGAGGAAAAGGTTTCTGGCTGCTTCCTGGGTGGGACTGCGGAAACAAAGAGCCGCTTCTGAGAAGGCCTCTCCCCTCCTCTCTTCCTGGACAGGACAGGGGCTTATGGGGGCTTATGGGGTGGGAAGAGGATGGAGGTTGCAGGAAGGAAGGGGTGGGGGGACTGGACCCCCCACTTTCCAGGGATCCCTCTCTGGTAGCCTTGAAGGGGTGGCCAATTCCTAGGTGGGAGGGAGAAGCCAAGGCGGCCCCTCCAGAGAATCCCCGCGGGCGCCACGATGAAGACGTTTCCCCAAAGACTTTTCCACCTATCTCTCCCCCCATCATTGCTGCCCTTCCTTGCCTCAGGGAGGCTCCCCCTCCCCACTTCCTCGACTCCCTCCCTCTGTCCCAGAGTCTCCCCTGCATCCAGATGCCCCCTTGGCGCGGCTCACTCCTCACCCCCCATCTTTCCATCCTGAGGGGCCACCCCAAGACACACAGATTAGGGACAGGGGGGTCTCTATCCAGGCGTCCCTCATGCTTGTTAACCCTTTCATGGCCCACCTTTATCCGTGCGGAGCCTACAGGGCCCCAGGGATGCCTACGCGGGGAAACGGGGCAAGGGGGCCCACGTGGGGACCCCCTGCGTAGGTTCCCCATGTCCGCCCCTGCCAAGCCGCCTAAGGGGTCAAGGAAAGTCCCCTTCGCAGCACACGTGCAGGGATCCAGGCCCTGCCGGTGGTGTCCATGAAAGTCGCTTTGGGGAGCTGGCGGGGGTCTCTGGGTCCTTTTCTCCCCTCTCCGCCCCCCGCGACCCCTTTACCTCTTTCTCCTCGCTCCAGATTCTCCTTTCCTTTCCTGTAACATCCATCGGGCGGGGGTTCCCTCCCCTGCCGCCCCGCCTTTCCTTTCCGAAAGCGCGCGCCCCTAGAGCTACGCTGCAGAGCAGCAATCCGACGTAGAAGCTCCACTTGCGGGAGAAGCAGGCAGTTTGGGAGGGGGGCTCTCTCCGCTCATTCCGGAAACAGAAGCCGGGGAGGAGGAGGAGGAGGTGGAGGGATCTGGGGTTGTGGGGGCGGAGTGAGAGGAGGATGTACCGGGAAGGGAGGAATTGAGGGGGGCGAAGGAGAGGAAGGTTCCCCCCTCCCTTCTTCGTTCAGGGGATGAGGAGAGCAGGGGAGGGGCTGATCCCGGCAATCTATTTGCAAAGTGCGGGCCCCCCCCGAATGTTTACATTGCAAAATCCTTCCCTCCCCCCGCCCCCCACCCCATGATCTTAGATCCATTCCGTGTTTTAGGTATTGGTGCACATTGAGCAGCGGGTGGGGCACTGTGACTCCTGTGTTACGGGAAAAAATGTGGCTTTGGTTTTTACACACACACACACACACACACACACACACGACACCCAGGTAAAATTCATCCCTTGTGTCTCCGTCAGAAGTAACACAATGAGGCCAGGAAGAAAACAAGGCAGCTGTTGATCTGTTTGTGCGCCGAGCCCCCCCCCCCCCATGCAAGGAGTGAAGCAGCCCAGAACTAAAGCGCGTTGCAATTTGTACACCCTCAGATAGTAGCCCCCCCCCGTCACAGAGAGAGCACCCCAAAAACATCCCCGGTTGCGTCACAAAATGCGTTGTACACGGAAATCAGATCAGACTCCGAGTTCGTGTTTTGGCAACATGACAAGTCTGTCCACCGGGATGCCTGAGGATTCCTGCTCCCTGCCTTTTCCTGGCCAGCCTGAGAGATCACTGGAAAGGGCGGATTTATTGACTCCAGAATCCATCATCGCGGACCCGTTTCATTCAGGCATAGAGATCTGCTCTTTGGACAAGTCTGCTTGAATCATCAATGGATCATCACTGGATCATCCATGATGTCATACCCGTCTCACGGAGGGGGGGGGGCTCAGGAAGAATCTCCTGCCACGTGACTGGGGGAGTCTGGAGGCTGACGGGGGTCAGACAGGACTGCTGTTTTGCTCTCCTTACTATTTCAGCTCAGGTTTTCCTGGCAGAAGTTACATTTCATCAAGAAATGGGTGGATTCATTGAGGAAACGGGGCTAAGCGAAAGCATCCGTTGTAGAGAGGCAAATGTGTATACTTTGTTACCACCCAGTGAGTTGTGTTGCAAAGGCCATTTGCAGAAAGGCTCCTATTGTATCACCTGCGGCTACATGCCAGAGTTTTAGTCTTTTTGTGGAAATGTGTCTGTGTAAATGCACTTATCCACATAGGAGTCCAAAAGCACAGAACGAAACAGCCCTTAATCCCTGCCTAGCTAGCTGTCAAAAGCTGGGTGTCTAACAACAACAACAACATGTTTTTAGTACCCCACCCATCAGACTGGATTGCTCCAAAAGAATAAAGCTTCCAAAAGAATAAAAGGAAACATAACTCAACATAAAACATTAAAAGCTTCCTGGAGCCGCTTTTAGGCGTCTATGGAGGTCATATAATGGTTTATCTCCTTAACATCTGGTGGGAGGGCGTTCCACAGGGCAGTCACGACGACCGAGAAGGCCCCCTGTAACCTCACTTCTCGCAATGAGGGACCTGCTAGAATGAAGCAGGGCCACCTGGAGGAATTTTACCCTTATGCTTTCCATATAACCAGTGAGCCATATATCCATATAGAACCATATATCCTTATAATGCTTTTTATATAATCCATGTTTGAATCATGAAGGCTTCTGCAAAGCTTAGGGCAAAATGCTTAGATTTGAAAAATCCAAAATGAACTCTGCCCCAGTTCTCTCCCCTTGTTCTTCTCAATGTCTCGCTAACATAAGGGGGGAAGCAATAAATCTGCTGTGCTGGCATTTTCCTCCTGTCCAGACAGGGTCCTGAGCAGCTAAAAACAGGAAGATGCTAACCGCAAAATGTCCCTGTTTGGCAGATGTTGCGTAGGAGAGCTTAACGGCTGAATACAGTTCCTTTCTGCTTTTTATTAGGGGAAAGGTCGGAGTAATGTTCAGACTGAAGAAAGCAGAAGTTGGGAGGGAACTCTTTACATGATCAGGGGGCAAGACTTGAATGCGCTCATTGGTTTTATTTTTGCTGCCGTGTGCGATTGTATTCGATTATGTCATGATCGATGATGTATGTACTCAGGTATAAAGCCTCAGGGCGCTAGAGCTGGGGGCCCCAGTCTCTGGAAAGGATTCCACAGGGTCAATTATTGCTTAGCAATAAATATCACTTTCTTTTTCTCCACTGCTGCGTCTGTCAATTCTTGGACACAATTTGAGTGGGTCACAGGTACCTTAAAAATCCTTGCTCCAAGAAGGCCCTCGGAGCTGGACCTCAGTGTCCGGGCTGAACGATGGGGGTGGAGAAGCACCTTCCCTTCTACTGGGCTGAGACCATTTAGGGCTTTCAAGGTCAGCACCAACATTTTGAATGGTGCTCGGAAACAGACCGGGAGCCAGTGAAGATTTCTTAGGACCCGTGTTCAGGGGCCAGCTGTTAGGGGGCCTTTCAGCTGCTGTCCAAAACTGAATGTATCCGTTGCCGGAAGTAAACCATAAACCTCTCCTCCTTCGTCTTCTCGGGATGCCATTGGTGCGCGATGCTCCGTCTCTCAAAAGAGGGAGAGGCGTGAGTTGGGTGCGCTCGGCTTGCCAAGGGTTAAACAGAAACGAGTTCGATTCCTAGACAGGAAAGTAAGACGGGGGGGGGGGCAGGGTCCTCCAGAGCGAAAGCCCAACCCCTCCCTTTCCTGCAAGAAGTCGGGCGTGTGGGGGTCCCGTTGGTTCGGCTCTGCAGAGGCTGCCTGGGGGCGCCTGCTGGGATCCGGTGAGTCTCCTCTCTCCCAGCATAGCGCCCGTGGGGAGAGCGGGGGTCCCAGCGCTGCATGGCAAGAGGGGGGCAAGTCAGGGCGCGGAGGGTCGCAGGAGGGCGGCAGCTCTGCTCTTCCTTTGCATGGATGCGCTGCTGGCCCCTTGGATCCAGGAGTGGGGAAATGCATGCAGAGAAACCCCATTCAGATGTATGGATCAGTTCCCTTTTATGACAGAGGTTGGCCGCGGACAGAAACATTCAGACATGAAATATACCCTTGTACCTAAAACCTCACCTGTGGAAGGAAGGAAGGAAGGAAGGAAGGAAGGAAGGAAGGAAGGAGAGCAGAGAAGAGAAAGCGCTTCCTCTTGCAGGGCAGAGTAAAACCTGTGGAACTGCCTCCCACAAGAGCCAGGGAGGCCACCAATTAAGGTGGCGTTAAAAGAGGAGGAGACCAATCCGTGGAGAAGGAGGAGAGGGCGATGGGTGGCTCCTCTGCTCTGTCTCCCCTATAGGGGGCAGCCCTATGGCCTGATCCTGCAGGGCTCATTTTCTCCTCCAGTGCTTAGTTCCTCCAGATGCAAGTGTGTCCTCTGAGATTGCTTGGGGTTGAGCTAGATGATCCTTGGGGTGCCATCCACCTCTATAGTTCTATGAAAGCACCACTGGAGGTCTCACAAGCCAAGGCATTGAGAGCAGGAGAGGTCCTGCTGGAAAGGAAACAACCAGTGCAACTGTTTTTAAAAAAGGAATCCAACGTGTTTGTTGTGGGGGGACTCAGTGGGGAGGGGTAGACCCCTGGATGCCGCCTTGATCTCCTTGGACAAAGAGGTGGGAGAGAAATGCCATTCATAAAGAGAGGCAGCCCAGCCAATCATCTGGCTGCTGCATTCTGGACCAGTTCCAGATTCGCCTTCAAGGCAGTTCCACACAGAGAGCGTTGCAACCATCCTATCTGATACAGAGCAGGAAGGACCAGGGCCACGTCCTCTGTGTCCCAAAAGGTCTGTGGGGTGGGGAATTAGCCTGAGCTGGACATGGGCCTCAAGCAACCATGATGGACCCAGGAGTGTCCTCAAGTATTCATGACTGGGGAGGGGGCATGTTAAGCAATGTAACATCATCATTGTTATTGCTTGCTCCCTGCCAATCACCCGAATTTCCAAGAGCAGATTACAAAATTTAAAAAACAGCAATAAGAACAGTTGAAAACACATTGCATGCATAGAAAGGTGAATCCCACATTATTTGCTTTTGAGTGCTGTCCTTTGACCCCACCCACATGTCATTTGGCCTCACCCACTTGGCCCTCAGGAGTTAGCCAGATAAGGGAATAAATGGGCCCTGAAGTGGGGTTGGGCAGGAGAGCAACTCTTGAGGAACCCTGGGTTAGGACCCCCCCCCAAAACCCAAAGCTCAGATAACACTCAGTACAAATGAGTCACTTGTCAATCACAGTTCTGACTTCATTCCTTGATTGAAAACTCCGAAAGGCCAACAGTTCCCTGCACATTTTGCATGGTAACTTTCCCTCTAGGAGGGCTGGAGACTTCCTTCTCCTCCTTCTCCTTCTCCTTCTCCTTCTCCTCCTCCTCCTCCTTCTCCTTTTTATAGAAACCTCAGAGTCTGGGTTCCTCATACTTCCTCATGGAACATTTTTCACCTCCGGGCAATATGTCAGTTTTGTAACAGAACAATGTACAGTGGTACTTGGGTTAAGAACTTAATTCGTTCTGGAGGTCCGTTCTTGACCTGAAACTGTTCTTAACCTGAGGTACCACTTTAGCTAATGGGACCTCCCACTGCCACTGCAGTGCAATTTCTGTTCTCATCCTGAAGCAAAGTTCTTAACCCGAAGTACCATTTCTGGGTTAGCGGAGTCTGTAACCTGAAGCGTCTGTAACCTGAAGCGTATGTAACCTGAGGTACCACTGTTTTTGCTTTGTAGAATTTCCTAGCTCCTCTAATTCAGACAGACAGAACTTGGCAGAAGATCAAGGGGTTCCTTCATCTCTCTTGGAGGCTTCCTGAGAGCACAGATGGATGAGAAAAACTCAGCTGGGCCTGAAGCAGGAAGAGACCATGCCATCAGAACTGGGAGCAGTGGGGGATTCTGGGGGGAAACTGTGCAGAAGATCCTGGGTGAGGAGGACACACTCCGCTCAGAGGCTCAGAGCCAGCAGTTCAGGCAGTTCTGCTTCCAGGAGGCCAAAGGACCTCGAGAGGTTTGCAGCCGACTCTACAACCTTTACCATCAATGGCTGAAGCCAGAAAGGCACACAAAGCTGAGATGCTGGACCTGGTGATCTTGGAGCAGTTCCTGGCTGTCCTTCCATTGGAGATGGAGAAATGGGTGAGGGAATGTGGAGCTGAGACCAGTACCCAGGCAGTGGCCCTGGCCGAAGGTTTCCTCCTGAGTCAGGCAGAGGATAGGAAGCAGGCAGAGCAGCAGGTGAGAGAGACTTTCCTCTGGATACTCCCAAGGGGCTCCGAACATGAGTGACAATATCTAAAAATTCTCCATCCTTTTTTTTGGAAAGCAGCCATTGAATGCTATCAGATTGCCCTTCAGTTTTTGTCTCTGTCATTCCTTTTCTTTTCTTTTTTATACGATATTTATTAAAGTTTTAAAAGGTACAAAAAGAAAAAGCAAAAAACATCATTTTAAACAAAAAAACAATACCACACATCCCAATAGGTAAAGAAAAAAAGGATAAAATACAAAAGAAAAAAAGAAAAATAAAAGAGAAAAAGCAGGAAATTAAAATCCATTAAACAAAAAAGAAAAAAACAAAGAAAAATACAGCAAATCTTTTCATTACTTATTTTCATAACTTATTTCCCGACCTCCTCACACCTCCCTTTTTTGTATTCTAGATCAATTATCCATTTCAGCAAATCCTTTCCCTCTTTTCAAATTTTTGTCCTGTAATTTATCTTGATATTAATATAGCTTTACTTTCCCTCCTTTCACCAATTAACAGTCTGTTTTTTCCTAAATCTTTGTAACATTTCTGCTAAAATAACATAAATTCATTCCAACATCATTCTAACATTCATTGATTTTACAATGTTTCTGTAAATAGTCTTTAAATTTTTTCCAATCTTCTTCCACTGACTCTTCTCCCTGGTCACGGATTCTGCCAGTCATTTCCACCAGTTCCATGTATTCCATCACCTTCATCTGCCATTCTTCCCGGGTGGGTAGATCTTGTGTCTTCCAATACTTTGCAATAAGTATTCTTGCTGCTGTTGTGGCATACATAAAAAAAGTTCTATCCCTCTTTGGCACCAATTGGCCGACCATGCCCAGGAGAAAGGCCTCTGGTTTCTTCAGAAAGGTATATTTAAATACCTTTTTCATTTCATTATAGATCATCTCCCAGAAGGTCTTAATCTTTGGGCATGTCCACCAAAGATGAAAGAATGTGCCTTCAGTTTCTTTGCATTTCCAACATTTATTATCGGGCAAATGATAAATTTTTGCAAGCTTGACTGGTGTCATGTACCACCTGTAGATCATATTCATTATATTTTCTCTTAAGGCATTACATGCCGTGAACTTCATACCTGTGGTCCATAACTGTTCCCAGTCAGCCATCATGTCATTCCTTTTCTAACTCTTCTTCATATTCTCTGTTTTGAAACTTTGTTGCTATTTCAGAGACAGGATCTGTTTGCAGAAATGGGCCCAGATTCCTCTGAGACCAAAAGGACTCCGTTGGACACCAGAGAGAGGCTGCTGGGTAAGGAAGGAGTCCGTTCTCCATTTGGTCCCTTTCTGTGGATATCAAAACGAATCCATGGGTTCTTGTCATCTTTTTTTTGGGGGGGGGTAGACACTTGGGGCCAGGAGCACCAAGGAGGGAGATGTATTTTTTAACCCAACTAAATTATGAAATGGGTCCAAATGTCCAGATGCACTCAGAAGGTGAGACTTTTTGGAGAGCAGCTGCACTCCTGGCTTCCCACTTACCTTTGTCTCTTGCAGGTGACCAGATGATGCCAGTAAGACCTCCTCATCCATCTATTCCTGGTGGGGAAGGAGAAGCAACGGCTGTGGAAGCAGCTCAGGTAGAGGGAGGGAGCCCTGTGGGGAAGGGGGCTGAGGGGTGGGGCTGCCAGGGTGCCTCTGGCCCCCCAGGAATCTCTCTCCTCCTCTTGGCTTCTCGTCCAAGCATCTCTGAAGGCATCTTTGTCAAGGGCAGCTTGGACAAAAGCCAAGAAGCTGGGAATGCCATTCGAAAAACTTAATGTGCTGAGAATAAGGAACAGCCACCTTGCCTTAACTCGCCTTCTGAAGGTCAATAGGATGATTCATAAGTCATTGTAGTTTTATTTCTAGAGTTATCATTGAATGCTAAAATAGGCTTCAAAGCAGTTAATCAAGCCTAAAAAACAGTTCCCAGGATTCACTAGTTACATCAGTTGCACAATGGGGCTTTCCCCCCTTCTCCTCCCCCCATGCACTTCTTGAAGTTGTCTTTTAGGGCATCAGAAGGGTCCCCCCCCCAAGAACAGGACAAGGGGAGCAGAGAGGGGATCCTTCCATCTAGCACAGACAGAAGGATTTTAAGAACACAATGAAGAGTTCCTTCCATTTACACAGAGATTAATGTCCATCACTAAATCACACAAGAAAAGAATTCCACTAAGACATTAAAAGCAGCACCCACAATTAAAACGTGCAGCAGGACGATCCCATTGAAACAAAACACCATTTTCTTGAGCAGAAAGAAACAGAGCAATGTGTAGCAGATAATCTTTATGCTCTCTAAAGAGGACCTTTCCCTTTTTCTTTTAGGGTCCAGTGTGCTTTGAAGATGTCGCTGTTCATTTCACAGATGAGGAATGGGCGTTGCTGGATCCTGACCAGAGAGCTCTGCATAAGGAAGTCATGGAGGAGAATTGTGGGATCGTGGCCTCTCTCAGTAAGACTCCCTTTTGGATCCTAATCTCTCTTTGGAAATTCCATGCATATCTCTCTGTGATAAGGCTCCCTGGTTTCGATGGAGGTCAACAGGGCCACTTGCAGCATCTGGGATTCTAATACCCCCAAAATTGACCTTAAATGAAGGGCTATCAGCATGTTTTGACCTTGGAAATGATGAAGCCAGCATAGACCTTGCTGAGAATGGAATGGGAACATGCTGGGAATTTGAGGTTAGGAAAGCACATCTTTGTTTGACACTGTCCTGCCTTGTATTGCCCAAAATCTTCCTGACACAGAGCTTGTGGAAGGCATTGAGGGGTTGTTTCTGATGGTTGTAATTGTCCACAATTCACTTCACAAAGCAGCTTGCTAAACACACAATCCTGATACACCTTCATCTTGGTATTGGTTAGCATCCTATTCACCCATACAGTGGTCCCTTGGGTTACAGACACTTCAGGTTACAGACGCTTCAGGTTACAGACTCCGCTAACCCAGAAATAGTACCTCGGGTTAAGAACTTTGCTTCAGGATGAGAACAGAAATTGTGCAGCAGCGGCATGGCGGCAGTGGTAGGCCCCATTAGCTAAAGTGGTACCTCAGGGTAAGAACAGTTTCAGGTTAAGAACAGACCCCCAGAACAAATTAAGTTCTTTTTTTTTCATTGATAAATTTTTATTGATATTACATATATATACATATAGACATATACAAAATCCATTACATAACTTGCACATATTATATCCATTCCAGAAATCATAAGTATAATACAAAGTTGTTTTAGGCTCTGCCGAGCCTTGGACTTTACTCCACTCCTTTGGTAAGTATCAGATAGGTTTTACAGTCACATATTTTATCCCTTTTATTTCCTAATCACTTACTGTTAGAGTTATTTCAACCCCGCCAGTGTTGTCTGAAATTTAGTTCCAATATACGTCAAATATTTATTCCAATTATCATGAAATTTCTGTTCGTCTTGATCCCTTAATCTTCCTGCTATTCTAGCAAGCTCGGCATAATTTATCACTTTGACCTGCCAATCACTTATATTGGGTATAACCTCCGTTTTCCAATTTTGTGCTAACATGATTCTTGCAGCTGTTGTGGCATATAGGAATAATATCTTATCTTCATTTTTAATTTCTTTACCCATCATTCCTAGCAGAAAAGCTTCAGGCTTTTTGGGAAAAGTATATTTAATTTTTTTTTTAGTTTGTTAGAAATCGATTCCCAAAAGCCTTTCACTTTGCTGCATGACCACCACATGTGGTAGAAGTCACCATCTGCCTCTCCACATTTCCAGCATCTTTTGTTCTTCAACCTATAGATCTTAGCCAGCTTCACTGGCATGTGATACCACCTATAAATCATTTCCCACAGGTTTTCCCTTAGTGCCATACACGCCGTGAACTTCATATTAGTGTTCCACAATTCCAGCCACCTCTCAAAGTCGATGTTATAACCAATGTCTGTCGCCCATTTAGTCATGACCTCCTTCACCTCCTCGTCTTTTGCATACCACTCCAATAAGATATCGTATATCCTAGACAATATTTTGTTCTCACCTTCTATAACTTCCACCTTAAATTTAGATTTTTTGTCTTCAAATCCTAATTTCTTTTTGTCCTCTTTTAACAAATCATTTACCTGATGGTATTGCAGCCACCCTGTAAATGCGTTTTTTATCTCTTCGTACGGTGTGAGTTTAATGCCTTGATCAGTTTTCCGCGCAAGTTCTTCATAGGTGGCATTCTTCCCTTCCATATTGATTTTTTTGACAGTTAGAACCTCTATTGGTGAAATCCACCAAGGTGTCTTCCTTTCCAATAGATTTTTATTCCTTTCCCATGCTTGAAATATTGGTCCCCTAAAAATATGATTTAGAAAGCCTCTATGTACTTTCACCTTTTCATACCACAGGTACGAGTGCCACCCGTACCTGTTATCGAAGCCTTCCAAATCCAAGGTGTCCCTATTTTCCAGTCTTATCCAATCTTTCAGCCACATTAAACACACCGCTTCATAATATAAACTTAAATCCGGCAGGGAGAAACCCCCTCTTTCTTTTTTATCTACCAATACTTTCATTTTTATTCGCGGTCTTTTTCCCTGCCAAATGAATCTCGCCAAGGCTCTTTGCCACTCTTTACATTGCTTTAACCCTTTAAGTACAGGAATGGTTTGAAATAAAAATAGCATTCTGGTCAGGACATTCATTTTGATAACCGCTATCCTCCCTAAAAAAGATAGTCTCATTCTTTCCCAGATTTCTAAATCTTTCTTAATATTCTTCCAAGTGACCTCATAGTTATCCTTGTATAAGTTAATGTTTTTAGCTGTAATCCACACTCCAAGATACTTCACCTTCTTTGCTGTCATAATCCCCGTCTTTTGTTCTAACTCTACAATATCCTCTTTAGTTAAATTTTTGGTCAACATTTTGGTCTTATTCTTATTAACTTTTAGGCCTGCCACAACACCGAACTCTTCGAATTTTTGTAAGGGCTCTTTCACACTATACTTTGGGTCTTCTAATGTTAATACAATGTCATCCACAAAGGCTTTGATTTTGTATTCCTTAGTCCCTACTTTGACTCCTTTAACCTCTGTTGTTTCCCTCAGTCTCTTAGTAAGTACTTCCAATACTGTTATAAATAATAAAGGAGACAAGGGACAGCCTTGTCTAGTCCCTTTGGATATATCAAAAAATTCTGATGTAGTATTATTTATTACAAGTTTTGCTTTTTGCTCACAGTAAATAGCTTCGATACCTTTACTAAATCTTTCTCCTACCCCCATCATTTTCAAATTTTCTATCAGGAAACGCCAAGAAACATTATCAAATGCCTTTTCGGCATCAATGAATATCAGGGCCACCTGTTTATCTATTCTAGTTTCCAAATATTCAATGATATCTATCACATTTCTTACGTCTCCCTGGTAGGAAGCCCATTTGGTCTTTATGAATTCTACTATTTAATACTTTTTAAAAATCTTTCTGCCATTACCTCCGCGAACAAATTATAATCGTTATTTAATAACGAGATCGGCCTATAATTCTTCACCTCTAGGGCGTCGACATCTTTTTTAGGTATTAATGTAATATAAGCCTCCTTCCAGGTATTCAGCATCCTTCCTTCTTTTAAAATATTATTCATGGCTTCACATAAAATTGGACATAGTTGATCACTTAATGTTTTGTAGTATTTGGCCGGTAAGCCATCCGGCCCCGACGCTTTTCCAATTTTCTTTCTTTTTTTAAAAAATAATATTTATTAGAGTTTCAAATGATACAAAAAACAAAAAGAAAAAAAACAAGAAAAAACAAGAAAAAGAAAAAAGATTCATCCTTTACAATCCCAATTTCATTAACTTTTTTTCCGCGACTTCCCCTCACCTCCCCTTCTTGTATTCCATGTCCAAATATTTATCCAACAAGTTCTTATCCCTAAATTTTTAACCTTAATTTGTTATTATATTATATTTTTAACCTTAACTTGTTATTGTATTTAATTCAATTTATGAATCAACTTTTAACTTATATACCTCAGTCATTTATATTTAAAAACTTTTTCTAAGGTCGACACAGTTTCCCTTCCACGAATTCCCCATTCTTATACTAATAACAGCACAAAATTAAAAAAAAGAGAGTAGAAAATATCAAACACCCTTTGGATTTCCAAACCCCACCCTCCCTTCCCCGGTTTCGATCCCAGAACCATTGTCCATTAGTCCATCTGCTATCAGCCTGGCAACCTCACTGTGATGGCCTGGGATTCCGAGTCGGAGAGTGAACCGGAGGAATCCCAGCTGGCACAGGAGTCCCCGCCTCCAGGGCCGGCTGAACTGGGGCAAGGCCTAGATGCTGAGGAGACTGCACCTGTGCCAGATCCTCAAGAGCAGGCACCAGGTGAAACCATTCTGGCCCCAGAGGTGCTGGAGGACTCAGTGTCTACAGGTGAGCCTCCTCCGGGGCCCAGTAACCCTTCGGCCTCTCCTGAACTGCAGAGGCTTAGGGCAGAGAGGCGAAGGGAACTGGTGTCTCCCAGGAGGAGTGCTCGCCTTAAGGCCAAGAGAGGCGGGGCTCCTGGGGGCCGGGACCGCCCCCGGCCTTAGAAGAAGATAAAGGTCAGGCAGCCCGGTCCCAGGTTGCGGGAGCAACGTCGTTGTGGAGTACCTGCTTTACCCAGTCCTAGATCTGCACTCCCAGTGTGCCTGTTCCTCGCCCGGCTTCCTGTTTCTGACTCTCCGGTGTTCCTGTTCCTCGCCCGGCTGCCCGCTGCTGACCTGCCAGTGTTCCTGTTCCCCGCCTGGCTTCCTGCTTCTGCCCTACCAGCGTTCCTGTTTCCCCGCCCGGCTCCCTGTTTCGGACCTCGCGTCTCGTCTAGTGATCGTCTACCCTGCTAGAGACTCTGGACTGAACTTGGGCTACGGTAATAGTACCTTCCCCCCCCCTGGGACCAGCACACTCACGTCCGAGGCCCTTAAGTCTCTCTCAATCCCTCTCTGCCGGTTTCTTTGAAAGTCCTTTATATTTAACACCAAGTCTCGGAGGGGCACTGTCCCTATAATGTCCATGTTCCTTCCAGCCAGACCTCCCTGTTTAAAGGTGGAGCTCGAATCTTGTTTCTTAATCCTTTTAAGTCCAAATGTCCCAAGAGCTCCAGCTTCCACCTTGCTCAAATTTATAGTCCATAGATCTTCAGATTTCCCCAAAAGGAGATCTTTCCATTCCTCATTTCTAAGTTCAAACCAAATTTTCCTCATCCAGTCCTTATTTTCTTTTATATCCATCTTCACAGGTCTCCGGCTCCCATTTGCCTTCTGCAACATTGCAGTCCCTCCTTTCTGCTCCTCCTGTTCAGCGTGTATCTCTTCCTCCAGTTCCTCAATTTTCTCTAGTTTCTTTTCTTGTTCAG